GTGTGCGTGTGCGTGTGTGTGCGTGTGCGTGTGCGTGTGCGTGTGCGTGTGTGCGTGTGCGTGTGCGTGTGCGTGTGCGTGTGCGTGTGCGTGTGCGTGTGCGTGTGCGTGTGCGTGTGCGTGTGCGTGTGCGTGTGCGTGTGCGTGTGCGTGTGCGTGTGCGTGTGCGTGTGCGTGTGCGTGTGCGTGCGTGTGCGTGTGCGTGCGTGTGCGTGTGCGTGTGCGTGTGCGTGTGCGTGTGCGTGTGCGTGTGCGTGTGCGTGTGCGTGTGCGTGTGTGCGTGTGCGTGTGCGTGTGTGCGTGTGCGTGTGCGTGTGCGTGTGCGTGTGCGTGTGCGTGTGCGTGTGCGTGTGCGTGTGTGTGTGTGTGTGTGTGTGTGTGTGTGTGTGTGTGCACGTGCAGCCACTTCGCAATTGTCTTTGACAAACATTGTAGTGACCCGCAGGAAGATGCTCCCGAAATCTGAATTCGCGGGGTGAGGGGGGCGAACTTCGCGCTTGCCCGCGCAAGGGGCACACTGAATTGCAAGTCGTGTTGGTGATGCCGTTGAAGTGGGCATCTAGGATATCTTATTACGCGAACATTGATGCCGAGTATGAGAAGGAACAAGATAAAGTGGAGTTCGGAGGAGGAGGGGGGAGGAGGGGAAAGAGAGGAGGAATTTGGGAAAAAGGATGAGGAAGCGGGATTCGTCGGGAAGCCGAGAAGGCGAGAACACCAGAATCTTTGAACAACCGAAGGGAGTTTTTTCCCTCTGATTGCCATCTTGGGAGTGCATTTGTGCGCCTTTTGAAGCCTCTTGGGGGCCTCTTGGGGGCCTCTTTGGGCTTCCTGGGAGCTTCTTGGGGTCCTGTTGGGCCTCTCGGGGCCTCTGGGGGCCTCCTGGGGCTTTTGGGGGCGGGGGGCTCGAAATGTCCATCGAATTTCCTGTCTGGGTCCCCTCTTGGAGCCGTGTTGGAGCCCTCTTGGGCCGTTTTGGTGGCCTCGTGGACCGTCTTGGGGCCCTCTTGGGCCATTTTGGGGTCTCTTGGAGGCTCCTTGAACAGTCATGGGGCGATATGGAAAACCTCTTGGGCCTGTTTAGAGCGTCCGGACGGCGAAAACGCGCAAAACCTTCCCAAACCCAGGTGAATCGATTGGTTTTGTCTCTTGGGGCCCTCTTGGAAGTGCTCTCGGTCACCTTTGGGGGCGTCTTCGAGGCTTCGTAGGGCGTCTCGAAGGCGAGTTGGACCTTGTCTGGGGCCTCTGAAGGCCATCTCGTGCTTGTAGTGGGTCTCTGAAGGCTTTCTTGGCCGTCTTGGAGCTCTCGGGGACCAATTTGGGTGGCCCGGGGAGTTCCAGATGCGTTCGACCGGGGGTCGTCCTGGGCCGGGTGAGGCGGGTCAAATTTCCGGTTTGGGGGGTCCCTGGGAGGGGGATTATAGTTGGGGAAGTATCTTAGACGCCTAGAGACCCACAATGGATCGGCGGATGATTTGCAAGAGTTTCACGGATGGAGGGCGGGCCGTTTGCAAAAGATGCCTCTTGCCTCAGCGCCGCGCGCATTCGTCTTGAAGTATTGCATGAGTTTCGCGGATGGAGGGCGGTCCGTTTTCAAAAATTGGTTCTCTCTTTAGCGCCGCGCACATCCGTATTCAACACATGCAAGAGTTTCAGGGATGAAGGGCGGGCCGTTTTCAAAGTGGGGTTCTCGCCACGGCGCCGCGTTTTATTCGTTTCAAACATTGCAAGAGTTTCACGAATTGAAGGTGGGCCGTTTTCAAGTTGGTTCTCGTTCTAGTTCCGCGCATATCGTTTTAACTAACATGCAAGCGTGTCACGGATGGAGGGCGGTTCTTTTTTAAGATGTGGTTCTCGCTTCAGCGCCGCGCACAGTCGCTTCAAACATTTGCAAGCTTTTCACGGGTGGAGGGTGATTCCTTTTCAAAGTGTGGTTCTTGCTTTCTCGCCTCGCGCATTCGTTTCAACAGTTTACAGCACTTTCAAGGATTCGCATGGCGAGCGTCGGACGATCAAGGCACAACATTTACGCTGACTCGCGATATTCAGATCCCAGGAATGGTGTCTTGGTGTGCTTCAGGATCTTCGAACGGTTGTCTTCCGACGGGGCATTTCCATCAGTGGACATGAGTTCGTGTCGGGGTTTTTGAAGAGGGATTCCGGAGGGAGGCCTTGTTGCAATATCGTTGATGCGTCTTGGGTTTGCACTGGTCCTCCTCCTCCGCCGACTGGCGCCCCGCGGCGCGCACACGAGGCCAAGGGGGCGGATGGGGGCGACCAGCGGGGGAGAGCAGCAGCGGGGAGGAGGCAGGCAGGTTTGCGTTCCGTTGACGCGTCGGCGACGCCAGCTCGGGCGTTCCAGCTTGAACGCCGCCAGGGGCCCGGAATCGGCCGATCTGGACAGATCGGCGACACTGGAAAGCCGCTATTGTTCGAGACTGATCGAGCTACGTGGCGACAGAAACCGATGTGGACGCCATCGCGACGTGAACCCGCCGTAGGCGGCAGCGGTGGGAGCAGAGTGCAAGAGGGAAACGCCGATGCCGCCGTGACTCTCCAGCCAAGGAGGTTCAGGAGCGGATGCTCCCTGAGAGTGCGCTTCCAGGAGGAACGACAGGACAAGAGTAGGACGAGGCATGAAGCTGGGTTGGACGAGAGCTATACACAAGGTAGAGGCAGTAGCTGGGCAAAAGAGGAACAAACAGGAATTCAACATCAATATGGTAGCTTTACTGCCAACTTCGACTCGAGAAGTGGCCGGCCGGAGGAGGACGAGGCAGGACGAGAAGGAGGAGGAGAAATGCAGGAAGAGAGGAGGAAACGGAGAAGGAGGAGGATGAGGAGGCGGAGCAGCAGAAGGAAGGAGCGACGATGATGAAGCGAGAGTGCGAGGACATCTGATGAGGCGCGGGCTCTGTGGGAGGTGGTCGTGAAGGAGGCGGTGGTGGATGACTCTGTGGAGGAGGGGGGATGAGGAGGAAGGGGGAGGGGGAAGAATAGATGGGGGAGGGGGAGCAGGACGAGGGCTGTCTGCAGGAAAATCGTACCCCCCCGCGCGCGAGGGGGGGGAGGGGGGGCGGCCTCAGGCCCGCGGCCGCGCCGCGGCCTGGCGGGCGCCAGCAGCCAGGGCTTGGCCAGGGCACGGCGCGTTCGCCTGGCGCGCGAAGCCCTGGTTTGACAAGAACGGCGGCGGGCAAACTGAGACAAGGCCGTGGTCCAAACGCGCACGACCAGCACGGACATATGATCGTTTTTTTATTCATGGTTTTGCCGATCGGTGCGGCCCCCCCCCCTCCACCCTCCCCCTGGAGTAGATCTTGGCTGTTTTTGGCGCCTGTTTCGAGCAGGTGGAGCCTCCCCCATAATGGACGCACTGCTGCAAACAGTCGCACTAAGCAGATGTCCAGAGCCCTCCCCCCCTTCCTCCCAATGTCGAACCGCCGAATCAAAAAACGCTCACCATCTGAGCAATGGGCCGCCCGGAAGCCAGTTGGTACGACACATCAGCGGCAGAACGGTTACACGAGAGAACTACGGGCCGAGCTCGCGCGGTGGGAAGGATGGCGGCAGCAGCAATGTGTGACCCATCGGGGAAACGCCCTGCTAAACGCCCTGCACGCTCACGAGGAGCACGCGCCAGGCCCTGCTGCCGACGAGGGCTCCAGGTGACGAGAGCGCGTAGGGCCACGAAATGGCGCTTGGCTACGAGAAGGCGCACGATAACACCCTGGGCCACGAGGATGCGCCAGGCTAACAGAACGCGCTGGGCCACGAGGAGGCGCTGGGCTACGAAAGCGTGCTGGGCCACGAGAACACGCTGGGCCGCGAGAAAGCGCTGGACTACGAAAACAAGCTGGGCCACGAATACATGCTGGGCCACGAAACGGCCACGGGCTACGAGAATGTGCTGGGCCACCAGAGCACGCTGGCCCACCAGAGCGCGATGGGCCACCAGAAGACGCCAGGTTACGAGAGGACCTTGGTCCACCAGGGCACGCTTGGCCACGAGAACGCGCTGGGCTACGAGAATACCCTGGGCCACGAGAACGCGCTGGGCTGCGAGAGCGCGCTTGGCCATGAGAGGGCGCTGGGCATCGAGAAAGCGAGGAGCTGGGCGTAGGCAGCCTGGTCCGGATAGTCGGACTTTCGATTCAGCGTAAGTTCCACGGCCTCGAGGGCCGTGCCAGCAGCTTTGACGCCAACAACGGCAGCTGGGCTGTCAAAGTAGACCTCCAGCAGGTCATGCCCATAAAGCCAGACGATCTGGATCTGGGCGGGGCCGAGGCCGCGAAGGAGTCTTCGACGCGCCGCTTCATGGACCTGGCCCCCAAGCGGGGCTGCTCTGTCTCCAGAGCGAACGTCCATGTCTTTGACAGCATACATATATACGACCAGGACTGCAAGAGAAGAAACCTTCCTTCATCTCAGCGAGCGGATGCGTCAAGCCATCCAGTGAGTAGCAGGTATCCCAGCGAATGGCGACTGATCCCATGAATTGCTCCAGCGCGGGCGCTTCAAGTGTTCATTGCATCGTCCCTGGACCCTCCCCCACTTGTGCGAAGCCATCTGGAGGCCGCAGACGTTGGCGGACGGCACAGCTGGGTCCTGCCGCTTCGGCCGACCTTCGCTGTGGCAGTTCTGCCACTGCCGAGAGCTTCGAATCGATCCCTGAACATGTCAGGTGTCTGGCCACGCCTGCGAGTCCAGAGGCCGCCGCTCGTGCGTCGAGGCCCAGCTGCGAGGCTTCTCCCTCGCCCACCCCCCGCTTGAGAGAGTCTGGTCCTCGGCCTCCTTTTCCTGATCCTTCCTCCCTTCGGACACGTACTCTTCGGCGGCGTCCGAGGGCGCAGCCGTCGTAGCTAGACGGGTGCCCGCGCGCGGCCGTTTGCGCGGTGCGGCGGCTGCTCAGGGACTGCCAAGAGCGGGCTTTCGCGTCAGGAGCAGGAGACCCTGGAGACTGGGGCGGGGCTGGGAGGGAACGCAGGGTTGCGGCCGCCCAGGCCCCGGTCTTCGTCCGCGCGGTGGCCGCGCGGCTGGGCGACTCCGGGGAGCGGGGGTGAGGGGGTCTGTCGTTCGTCGTCGTCTGTCGTCCGTCGCCGTCGTCGTCGCCGCCGCGTACGCCGTCGTTTTCGTCGTCTGTCGTCGTCGTCGTCGCCGCCGCCGCCGCCGTCACCGTCGTCGTCGTCGTCGTCGTCGTCGTCGTCGTCGTCGTCGTCGTCGTCGTCGTCGTCGTCGTCGTCGTCGTCGTCCGTCGTTTCTCGTCCGTCGTCGCCACTTTCGTAGTCGTCTGTCGTCGCCGTCCGTCGTCGGCGGTCGTCCGTCGTCCGTCGTCCGTCGTCGCCGCCGCCGTTGGCATCGTCGTCGCCGTTGGCATCGTCGTCGTCGTGCGCCGTCCGTCGTCGTCCATCGCCGTGGGGCGCCTACTTCGGCGTGGAGCGTGCCAGCGGCGGACGGGGGGGAGGGCGAGGGAAAAGGAGACAGTTGAGTTAGAGTTCGGCTCCCAGCACGAAGTGCTAACATCGATTCGCGAAGAACACTTTTTGGTGTTTCCGATTGAACTCCGCCTTGCTATAAGCCTTGGGCCACTGCACCGCAACAGTGCGATTAAGGTATCCACGGCGGGGTAGGAACGGAGGACGAGGAGGAGGAGGAGGAGGAGGAGGAGGAGGAGGAGGAGTTGGAGGAGGAGGGGGAGGAAGAGCAGAGCAGGACGAGGAGGAGGAGGAGCAGCAGGAGGAGGCGAACTCGTGTTTTTCTTTGTTTTATGTTTTACGTTTTTTTTTTTTTTTTTTTTTTTTTTTTTTTTTTTTTTTTTTTTTTTTTTTTTTTTTTTTTTTTTTTTTTTTTTTTTTCTCTCTCTCTCTCTTTCTCTCTCTGTCTCTCTCTCTCTCTCTCTTCCCACCTATCCAAATACCGTTCTTTTTGCGACGAGAGCAGGCAGCCGGCACGCTCCATGCCTACAGGGTCGGGTCGATGAGGAGGAGGCGGAGGAGGAGGAGGAGGAGGAGGAGCAGCAGGAGGAAGAGGAGGAAGATGACGAGAAGGAAGAGGAGGAGGAGGAGGAGCATCAGCAGGAGTTGCAGGAGAAACAGGAGGAGGAGGAGCAGGAGGAGGAGGAAGAAGAGGAGGACCAGTGTAAACCCAAGACACATCAACGATATTCGAATCGACACTCCCGCCAAGCCCCCTTCAAATGCCCCTACAAGGGTTCATGTCCATCGAAGGAAGTTCCCCGTTGGGAAACAACCGTTGGACTACCTGAAGCGTGCCACAACACTATTCTCCGAACTTCAGCGCCACGAGCCAATTTGATTTTTGCGTCTTTACGATTCTGAATCGTGCCAGAACACCGTTCTTGGAATTTCAACACAGCAAATCAACATAACTGTTGCGCGCATCAACAAAACTGTTGCGTCATGTCAGTCCCGATTCATCCCGAAACGCAATCTTTGTCCGTAAAGCATGGGAGCCCTCAAACAAATGTTTAAGACAAGTGCGCGTGGCGCAAAGGCCAAATTTTGAAAGTGGCTCGCTTTCAATCCGTGTAACTCTTACAATGTTAAAAAACGATAGGCCGTGGCGGCGTTGCGACGAGAGCCACAATTTTAATAAGACCCGATCTCGATCCGTGAAAATGTTTGCACTGTTTAAGACGAATGCGTGCGGCGCTATGGCGATACCAACATGTTGAAAACCGCCCGCCTTCCATCCGTGAAACAGTTGCAAATATCAATATTCAGGATGATAAGTGTAGAGGAAGTCTCAGGCGAAACGCCCGGCCCGCCCTTTCGACCAGCCTTGCGGCAAGAAAGGGAGGATTTTTTGAAGGAAGAGGAAAGGAGGAGGCGGAGGAAGAGGAGGAGGACGACGAGGAAGCGTAGGAGGGGGGCGAGGAGGAGGAGGAGGAGGGCGAGGAGGAGGAGGAGGAGGAGGATTAGGAGGAAGAGGAAAGGAGGAGTAGCAGGAGGAGAAGGAGGAGGAGGAGGAGGAGGAGGAGGCCTCCCCTGTGACCCCTCCTGCGCCCGCCCCCCCCCAGGCGACGGCGTGGCGGGCCTCCTGCGAGACCTGCGGAACGCGCTGCGCCAGCCGCGCGGCGAGGCCCGTGGTCCCCGCGGGGCGTTCGGGTTTTTGTAATTCCCCACGCGGTGCTTGATGGGCCTGTTTTCCACCACCACCACCATCAGTTGGAGGGGGAGGGGGTCCTCCTCCTCCTCCTCCTCCACCTCTTCCTCGTCTTCGTCCTCCTCCTCTTCCTTCTCCTCCTTCCTCCTGGTATTCAACGTTGAACGCCGCCGGCGATCCAGAATCGGTCGGCGTGAAACGATCTGATATTTGTGAAAGCTCCGACCTTTCAAGGTTAAACGATCCCCGTGGTGTCAGGAACCAACGCCGAAGTCTGCATGCCACGAACCTGCCATACTTTCCCAAGTGGTGCTTGCTCTCAGGGGTTTTCAGCCTCAGATATCTTGTGTTTGCTCCGCTATCCAGTTCTCAAGCTGCCAAGCTTCCCGGGCATCCTTTTTGGAGTTTCCTTGCGATCGTTTCCTGAAGGTTTTCAGTCGCTCCGGATTGTCCGTGCTGGCTACTCCGCTCTCCTGGATTTGATGCCACACGTTCCCCCACGAGTTGCACTTAGGGATTCTTATTTCTATTCTCAGGAATTGGGCTTGGTTGGCGGTCTGGCGGCTCCGTGCTCGTCGTCGCCGCCCCGTCGCCGCCTCGGCGCCGCCCGTCGGCTGGGCCTGGGTGGCGGTGTGGCGGCTCCGTGCTCGCCGTCGCCACCCCGTCGCCGCCTCGTCGCCGCTCCGTCACCGCCTCGCATAGATGGCACCGCATCGATTTTTCATTTTCACACACACATATATATACACATAAAAGAACATTCCCCGTCCTAGGGATGTTCTGTTTGCTTGTATATCGCCAATTTCTTGCATGTCTCCCCATCGTTCATTCCAACTCTGAGCTCAGACATCGCAGACAAGCTCACACTCTGGTATCAAACATCGGATTTTGTTCGAACATCCCTTTGTAATCGATGAGACCATGCCCACGCGCGCGTTGTCGCGCGCGCGCGTCAAAATCGGCTGTCCCGAAATTTGATAGCACTCTTTTGTATAACAACCTGATGTTTCAATCAACGGCTTTTGCTCGCACTCTTGCGATATCACAGCGATCGGTTTTCAATTTTTCTAAATGCGACCAAGCGGGCTTTTCAGGTGCGCATGTCGAATTCGAACGCCCCTGAGCGCGAGCTGGGGGGGCCCACGTCCGAGTCAAATGATGCCGTGCGGGCCACTTGCGCCCGTCGGCCGCGCGCGCATGTCGAAATGTCTTCGAGATCATCATCGCCGGAACGTGGATACCATCATCGTCATCGGCGTGGTCAGCACCGGCGCCGTCATTGGCCTTGCCGTCGTTATCGTCGTCGTCGCACCAGCATCGCTGCAATCATCATCGTTTTTGTCTTTGCCGACGTCTCCATGATACTGCGCCCGCCCAATTCACCTACTCGCACTGAAGTCCCCGTGCGTCAGTGCGGCCTGCGAGACGCGCTTGGAAGTCCGAAGCGGTCAGCGCCACTGCGGCCGCGTCCGTCGTGCCAGACTAGCTGGCCGCTCTGCGCGCGAGCCTGCGCGCGCTAGCGCGGCCGCAGCGACGCGCCAGCCAGCGCCAAGCAGTCATCGCAGTCGCCGCCGCAAACCAAGATGCGGGTTGGTGGGTGGGATGATTGCGCGGGCAATGGAGTTCACAACTCGCCGCGAACAGAAATCAACTGCACCGCGGCAACTGCACCGCCTAGAATTTCCTTCCTGAGCAAGTAGTAGATTCTACCCCCCGGAATTAATGATCCCTTTTTTAGGTTTGGAATTTACGTGTGATTCTGCCCCAGCGTCAATCCCATATATGACCTCGCACCGTCCCAGCCAGGCTGGTATCGATACCCTCCGGCCATCTTGTGCAATTGACGCTATGCGCGCGCTCTCGTTTACCAGAAATCATCAGTCTCCAGTAGACCCCTGCAATGCATGGGACGAAGTGCCCATGCGCGCGTCGTCGCGAGCGCATGCCGACATCCTTCAACAAACGCTCAGTTTCGTCAGGGTTTCAAAATTGAGTGCCACGAGAACATATAAGCCATATGGTTTTGCAACAAGAATTGTCAAAATCAGTTTGCGCCCGCGCTCTTGCGAATTCTTAGGCTTTCAGTTTTTTTCTCAAGAGAATGCGTCCACATTGGCCTCTCGTGCGCTTGTGTGTCGAGATTGTCCGAGCTCCCTTGTGCGCGTGTTGTCGCAACAACCTCTTGCAAAAAAACAGAGCGAAGGGTACGCGCTCGCGTCGTCGCTCTCGCGCTTGCCGAAATCTTTGGGGAACCCTTCGGGTTCGTAGGGGTTTCAGTTGTCCCGAAATGTTGAACAAGTAAGATCTTTCGGCATCAATTTTCAAACAAAGTTTGTGCTCGCGCTCGTGCGGATTCTTGAAATTGCCATAGGTCTTCCAAATGTTGCATCACATTCTGCCGAACGGACCCTTCGCGCCGCATGTCGAGCTCATTCGAACGCCCTTGCGCGCGTGTGGGGGGGGGGTGTCGCGATCCGTGTCACATAATTGCAGGCTCGGCAATCATATTACAGGGGTCCATCGAGAAAACCAGCCGAAATCTTCGAGACATCTTCAGCAGGAAATTCAACCTCCCCAAAATCTTCAAAACATCTGTACACCAAAACCTCGGCAAATCCCAACCCAGAAAAACTTGAAAACGAAACTCCAGAAACAACTTGAAGCAGAGAGACTGAAAAAAACATGGATGCTTGATGATTGGGCCTGCCATATTGTTCCTATATTGTTTGTAGATTCGTCGGCGACCGGGGATTGTATTTAGAGTTGTTTCAGAGTTTCCCAGCGAGTTTTTTGCTCGTCAGACGGTCTGAAATTCGTTTAGAGTTTTGTATTTTTTAAAAAAACTACAAGCAAACGAGTTATTTAAGCGTTTCGATGTTTTTCGTAAAGAATTAGTTGGTTCTCTAATTTACAGAGTTGTTTAGAGTTCCGGCTTGATTCTTTTTGTAAGTTTTAGGTGTTCCAAGGTCTTGGCTCAGAATTTGTGTGAAGCTTTTTGTTGGTCAGAGTTTGAGATTTTTCGCAGGTTTTGGCTTAGATATTCATGGAAGTTTTCCTAGAGTTTGAGATTTTCGCAGGTCTTGGCTTCAAGTTTTATGACGTCCTTTTAGAGTTTGAGGTTCTTCGCGCGGAAAGGCGGTCCGCCTGTAGTCGCTATTGCCGATCGTAGACATAATCCCACGCGAGCCAATCGTGCGCGTCGGCCGCGCGCGCATGCCGAACTCCTTCAAAAACCGCCACCGCCGACGCGAGAACATCGTCATCGTTATCGGCGGACGTGATCAACGTCGGCGCTGTCATTGGCCGCGCCGTCGTCATCGCCACCTTCGCCACCATCGCTACTCTCATAATCGTGCCTGCTGTTGTCGGCGTCGCCATGATACCGCGCGTGCCCAAGTCACCGACTCGCATTGGATTGCCCGTTGGGAATTGCCCGGCCGTCAGCGCCACCGCGGCCGCGCTGGTCGTGCCAAATTCGTTGGCCGCTCTGCGCGCGAGCGTGCGTGGGCCAGCGCGGCCGCAGACCTGCACCAGCCAACACCAAACACTCATCGCAATCGCCGTCGTATGGGTTTTGAAAACCAAGGGGCGGGTGGATGGGTGGGGTGTTCCAAGAGCATGGAATATGTCAATTCGCTTGTAAAAGCCAGCCGCGCCACGCAGACTGCGCGGCATATGTTGCGCCGCGCGGAGTGCACCACATTGACTGCACGACGTAGGTCGCGCCGCACACGTTGCACCACGTAGACAACGTAGATCGCACCGCATAGCTTGCACCAGTACGCGTGCGCCACATAAGCGGCACTACGTAGATGCACCACATAGATTGCCCAACCTAGATTACCCAACGTTTAGAACCACCACATTTAGTGCATAATGGAGGTCACAAGGCATGTGTTACACAGCGAATATGGTACAACATATTTCTCACCACATAGGTTGCACCACAGAACATGCAACGCATACAATCTCCTTCCTAGCAGGGATACGGGCTCTCACCCCCCCGACTTAACGTTCCCACCTTGCGTATTTTTCATGCTTAAATGTACATTTGTCCATCCTAAGTATGAGTTCGTACTTTTGTTGTCTAAACCGGCGTCCCCCGTCCATCTTTTGCAAATAGCCGTATGCGCACGCATTCGTTTATCAAGCACCATCAGTTTACAATATCCCCTGACACCACATGGGGCGAAGTGCACACACGCGCGTCGTCGCGCGCGCATGCATCCAAGTTTATAAACATGTATCCAAGTTTCGCAAATATTTGGGTAACGAGTCTCCTGAAAGCATATCACACCACATAATTTTACAACACGATTTTTCGAACAAGACAACGCCTGCGCCAGCGCTCTTGCGAATTCTTAAGACAATCGTATGTTGTTCAACATGTTCATACCATGTTCCAAACGTGATTCTCGCGCGCGAATGTCGAAATCTCTCGAGCGCCCCTGCACGCGTGCTGTCGCAATAATCCCTTGCAGCGGATGGACGAAGTGCGTGCGCGCGCGTCGTCGCGCGTCGTCGCGCGCGCACGCCGAGATCTTTCAACAACCTTAGGCTTCGCAGGGATTTCAAAATCGAGTGTCCCGAGACAAAGACACATGGCTTTGCAACGCCAGTTTCCCAAAATAAGCCTGCGCTCGCGCTCCTGCGACTTCAGAGGACTACCATCGTGCTCAAAAGGCTGGGCGGGGGCACGATCCGCGCCACATAAGATCATGCGGGCCACCCTCGCGCGTCGGCCGCGCGCGCATGTCGAACCCTTTCCAAAACTCCATCGTCGACGCGAGGACGCCGTCATCGTCGTCGGCGTGATCGGCATCGGCGCCGTCAGTGGCCTAGCCGTCGTTTTTGCTTTTATCGTCATCATCATCATCGGTATTATCATCATCGTGTCTACCATTGTCGACGTTGCCATGATACCGCGCGCGCCGAAGTCGCCGATTCGCACAGAGGTGCCCGCTGGGATTGCCCAG